GCTTACTTGCTGAGCTATGGAAAATTGTTTTCAATGGGAAGGGGGGATGTGGAATTCGTAGTTCTGGGATGGCAGCAATTAAATTTTAATTAAAATTTCTACCCCCACCTCTGGCGACCCTGTGGGTACTGCTCGTACTACTCATACCTGTTCGTGGCCGATTTAATTATGCTTGACATGCGCACAGCCATAAGACCCGACCCTCGACTCCTCGGGGGAGCAAGTACCAGTACCAGTGCCCGTCACTCTCAATGGCAGCAGATGTGGCGGCTTGTCACGCGACTTTTTACACTGCAGTGAGCTCATCTCGATGAGGATGACGTAAGGCAGGATGGTGGCCATTAGGGGACTGCACGCTGGATGAGACCCGCTCATCGCGCTTAATGACAAACATTTAAGATGTTATGTACCGACGGGCCTTGGACGCCTCTGTTGATATTTCAGTATTTGCGGGTAAATAATATCCATCGATTCTTACTTATCGAACACTTGTTGTGAATTGCTTGGATCAACACGAAAAGGCGGGTCGGCGAAGGACAAAGCTATGAAAAACGAAAGACTCAGGCAACGAACTGAGTGAAAAGCAAACTTAAGAATACTACAAGTATGTGTGCTATATACGGCAGGTAACCCTCAATGTGCACAGTGATCATTAAAATTTTATTTTCAGTATGACTTTTCGCTCAAAATATCAATCGAATCGAATGACTTAAGCAACAAACTGAGGTATGCTAACCAATTAAGCAAGACTCAAGTGGGAAATCTATATGAAGCACGAATAGTATAAGCAATAGACGAAGTATTAGCCCCAGAAATATCAACAGTGATCAATAAAATTTATGTGAGACACGATTTTTGCACAAAAATCAATCACAAACGAATGACTTAGGCAACAAACTTAGTTGTAATAGTTAAGGCGTTCAAGTCTTAATGAACGTATGTCGTTATACATTATTACTTTCGTTTTTATCAAAAAATGAAAATATATTTTGTATTAAAATAACTTTTGTTATCCTCTTGTTATCGTAAAAAGTAAATATATTCGTTGACTTATATAAACTGGATAAACATATAAAAATGTTGTCTTTCTATATTCTACTTGTCCAACATATTTAATTGCCTATAACAATCAATAAAGCAGCTAGCCAACCCCGATAGATAAATTCTCATCACATCTTGCGGTTCTTGAACGCAATGCACTTTGTTGCCACATCGTGACGACTGTCGTAACTGCAATTAACATTGGTAATTTCAAAAATTGTGTCAATCCAATCGGGCGAAAGGAAAAAGCAGCAAACAGCAGCCGCCACAGACAGCAAATTACAAAACAAAATGCTGGCCCCATAAGTGCCGAGAAAATTACATTAATATGTATCACAATCGGACTGGGGCAGTGGCTATAAAAATGAAAAGGCCTGCCGGTGCGTGAGTTGCAGCCGCATTAGCCCGGTTAAGTGCTAATTGAGATTTCAAAATCAGATCCCAGCACAAACACAGCCCGTTGTTTGCCCGAATCGATCAAGCGAATGAGCCAATAAATAAGTCGGGCCATATACATATTAGACGAACCCAATCGAGGCGAGACTGAAATTTATATGGCCTATCTTGGTCGTCTTTTGGATTATTCGATATCGTTTACAGGGACATGGGAGACAGCTCGTCACGGTTGATCGGGCGGTTCAGATCAATAATGAGCTTGATTGGCTCAGAGATCTTGGGAAATTGCCTTCAAAGAAATATAATTCTGATAGGTTCTTGAATATTATAGCCATACAAATAAATATATGTAAATTTAATTGAAGTTTCAAATTTTAAATTTGAATTAATAAAGTATACATTTAATTGCATGATCAAATTGGGAAATATTTGTGTCTATACCGTTTTTTAAATCGTTAATTTAATCGAACCATCTTTGTTCTGTGAAAAATAATTATCAAACATTTGTGTCATACTAAAAAAGTTAATCACTCAATCATTTTTAGCTGATTCTTATTAAACGATAGATATTTACAAAAACCAAGCCCACATCCATTAGGTTCTTTATTTTATCCAGCAAATCTAATGGCTGCTATTTTAGCGAAATCACAATCGCATCATTAGTTGAGCCGCAAAAGGTGCGTGAGTTGGCCATTTGAGTTTCAACCTTTCAATGGACTAATCATCTTGGCATATGGACTTTACCTTGTAACCAATGAGTCGGGTCTGGCTGCCTTATAAGTGGTTAAGCTTAATGTTTAATTTTTTATTTGCATGCCAAAATGGTAGAACGAGTTGGTCATAGCGTCATCTATAGTAAACCATCTGCCTGAGTGGGTGTTTTTTTTTTTTTTTGGGAAACCAATGAAATTCTGGACTTACCGTTTCCTTTGGCATCGTGTTGCAAGATCTCAGCGGCAGCTTGTACCGCAGAGAGCCCACATGATCTCTGCGGGGGAGGGGAGTTAAGGATTAGAACCAAGATTGGAGAAAGATTACACTAAATCTAAATGGCGGAACTCACCTGTACTCGCTCAGGCAAGTCGAGTTCTTGGACAGGCCTTTCGGGTAGATCATGCCGCTGAACAGCCCCGTCTCGTGGTTCGGCGGGGCATCTTTGATGGTGATCAGCATCGAGCCGGACAGGCACTTGATCCGCACACTGGGCTCCACCGCCGGCTTCGAGGTGGAGGCCACCTCCGCCTCCGCCGCCGCAATCGCATCGCTCAGCGAACTCTGGGCATCCTCTGGAAAATGCGAAATCGGAAATTATGAAATGCAAACAGAAACACACGACGCGGCCACTCCCAAAATCATAAAAAGCACAGTTAGACGACCAGGAGGATGCCGCATCCACATCGAGGAGGCAACCTCAAGAGCCGTTAGCATAAATCATGAGCGCAAAACCAAGACAATGGCCCATGGGAGCAGTATTTAGTTAGGAGCATAGCTCCAAGTTGAAGCCGGCATGCGGAAGACTTAAACAAATAACAATGATGTACTGAGAAAAAATATTTATTCACTAAGCATTCACCATGTTTTACCATCTTGATTTAATATATTTAAAGGTATTTGAGGATACCATTGAAAAAACACTACAATTCTGATATACAAACTGTATTTAATATCTCCAACACGCTTAAGAATTTTTGTTTGAAAAAGATTTAAAGACAATGTCAAACTACATAATATTTAATTTAAATACCAGAATTCTTTTTACTTGAAAAATTAATATTGATAGGGAGAAAACTGTATGTATAGCTTTTTTTCTAATCTTTTTAAGAGCTATAAGATGCAAATAGCTAGCCCCCGTAATGTCTGATTGAAGTGAAATTTGTTGGCAATACAAAGGTTATTTTTTTCAGTGTTTGCTCATGACATTGAGAAGCCATTGAAGCGGCAACATCGAAAATCAGCAGAAGCAGTAATAGCAACATGGGGCTAAGACACGCCACAGAAGCGCTCGTGGCCATTAGAAAGACGCCACGCTGCAAGTTCCTTGAACTTTGGCGAACCATTCGAGGTGCAACCTGGGATTTGGATTTGGATTTCGATTTGGAGGTGCTCTTGGCATTTCCTGCTTTCAGAATAACTCCCCGCTGGCTGCTTCTCTGCTCCCCTGCAAAGGTACACAATTGGCTAGGAAGACCAAGAAGAGACCAAGACCAAGACCAAGACCGAAGAAAAGCTGCCCAGGCACGTTCGCCCTGGCAGTTGGCGGTGTGTATACATGGTATATATACTCGGTATATATGGGATGCCATGGGATGGGATGGGATGCCTTCGGTCGAGGTGGTTCAACGAACCTTGCAGCATTTCGCATCACTTACTGCGGTTCTGGGCAAAGTAATTGCATGCAACACGGCCATTTCGGAGCCGGTTTTTCTGTTTCTTTTCTTACTCCACTGGAATGGAATCCACTCGTCGACTTCGTTGGCACATAAAACATTTAATGGCTTTCTATTATGTATAATTTTATGGTCTCCACAGGCGAACTGAACTGCACTCTCCTCAAATAGAACAAACTAGACTAAGGCAACAATGGTTCGCATCAATTACCAACTCCTCTACGGCGAACAAAGAATATGCAAAACCCTACAAATCCCCTTCGGGTTTGCCTGGAAAACTAAATCAGCTTTTCAGTTTCAGTTTATTACTCTCAGATTTATGACATATTTCCTGATTTCGATCTAATTTCAGCAAATTATCGATCGCTTTCACCAGGTTTATGGATACAGCTAAATTTTAAGTGCAAAGATGGATAAGATTGTGGAGTTAAGTAAGTTGAAACAGGATGGTGGTAAACCAAAGGTAGACCAGGCTAAGATAGATGGTCTGGCAGCGGATCTGGCCGCGGCTATTAATGGTACATATATGTTGAAAAGGGGAAGAGAATTGGAAGACAAGGAGCCTGGCCAAAAGCTAACTATAGAACCATCACTATCGAATCAAGATGTAAGTAAATGAACACTGAATTTCTGATATGCGATAATGTATCTTATTATATACAGCTCATTATTGGTGAAAACGATAATATTAATGTTCCCAAAGAGAGTTTAAATTCGGAGAAAATAAGGCAAGTACCTCTTAATATCCTTAAGTTATACCAATTTAATCTTAGTACGCTATTTTAATCAATTTCTAAAAATAATTTCTTATATCATTTCAGTTCCGAAAACTCTTTGGCCTTGGAGCTGGAACCCCTGAATTTAGCGTTTAGTATTCTATCCAAACCATGTCCTAGCAGTGAAAATCTGAACTGCAGGCAACCACTAAAAGAGCCCATGGATGCCGAACTTTTGCGTATCCTGAATGACCCCGAATCCGGTTCCTTTAAGGTTTACGTGGGCAAATACAAGTTCCGCTGTCATCTGCAAGTCCTGCAGGCCCACTCTAAGTACTTCCAGGACTGCGAGGATGTGGGAACTCTTAGGGCCCACCTGCCCACCGATATGGTGACCCCGACGGCCTTCCATGTGATCTACAACTGGATGCTGGACATCACCAAGAGGCCAAAAGGTGGATGCTCCATGGTGGAGATATACAGTGCATCCACGTTCTTGAAAATCGACGAGTTGCTGGAAATCGCCTTCGTTTGTTTCAATAAGAGCAGTGTGTCCGGTAGCCTGGCTTTTGGACTGTTCTTGGAGGCCCAGAAGTTTGAGATTCGCATGTTCCAGTTCCTGATGCTGTCCCGCATCGAGGAGTTCTTTCTGCCCTTGGTGGCCTCCAAGGAGTTTGTGCAACTGGACTTTTACTGGGTGCGGAAGCTCCTTAGCATTCACAGTATAGGCGTGAACAGTGAAATTGAGGTAAGATATGGTAAGATATTATATGGTATTGGCAGGATGGTGTCAGAGCGCAGGAAGATTCTGCTGGTGACCATTGATATAATACCATGAGATATTTGAGTCCCTTATTACCCACAGATCTTTATGACTGCAGTTCGCTGGCTAAGTTATGACTGGGACTCTCGGAAGGTTTTGATGGAGAAGATAATGGGCTGTGTCCGCTTCTGCCTGCTGCCAGCGCTCTTCCTTAGGTTTTTGCAGGGCGAACAAAAGACCCTGGTACTGAAAAGCATTTGCTCGAGTCCCAAAATTCGGGAAAAAGTCAACAAGGCCTTTGTGTAAGCTCAAAAGAGGACTTCCCTTTCCCTTGACAGATCATGGATCTCCGAATTCCCAGGTACACCTCCACCGAACTCTGCGACCTGACGCAACGCATCTCCAGCCTGGTCAAGGAGTTCGATCCCCCGGAGCAGCGCAAGTGGATCTTCGACAAGCGGTGCTCGTACCATCGCAAACCAGGCGGAAACCAGGGGCAGTTCTTCACCTACCAGCAGTTCCTCAACTATCTGGAGTCGCTCCACGATTCAGTGCCCGATCACGGCTCCTAGGTCATCGGGGTCTTAGCCAAATCCACAGCCAACTCCAAATCCCCCAGCAAGCCCAAAAACGCAATGTGAAAGCCAGAAGGAAGTGTGCCGCAATGTTTGGCCAGTCGCCGTTTTCAATGAGGCACCTCTAAAAAGCCAACTTTTGTTTGCCATGCGATTATAATGCCTGCTTTTGGCTTTGGCTGTGGGCCACAGAGTCAACTGAGATTTGGCAACCAGAAAGACAACAGGCAGCTTAGCGAGTTTACTTAACAATGGCAAACGACGCTGGCGGATTAAAGTGGAGTGTCTTTATAACTAATTAGGTAATAGTTGGGGGTTTGCGGACATAGAGGGAACCAATTCATCACTGTAATGCTATTTGGGTTACTTTCAATCTCAACGCCGTCTAGGGAATTTGTATCCTTCTTTTTTAATAAATTTGTAATGTGTTTTTATGTAATGAAAGATAGTACTGTTAATGGGATATAATAAGTTTTTTACACATTTTTGGAATCAATTTTATAGACCACCACAACTATATGTTTAGGTTAAGTTGCCTTGCATAAATAATACTGTATTAATCCTAACTAACTATTCATCTTGCTTTTTAGGAATATATTATCTTTTAACTAATTGTTTCATTTTACTGTTATTTTATATATTATCAAAAGTTAACCTATTCTATTCTTTCTCACCAATTCGTAATGATAAATATATTAACTATCATATTTACATATTTATCTATACTATTAATGGATGTAAAACATGTTGATAAGTTGGATGACTTTGCCTCATTTGAATCTTATTTTAGTTTTCAGAGGCCAACAAAAGACCCCAACTGAGTTTAATCTTTCCCGCGTCTTCGCCACCAATTTGTTAGCAATTTTTCTTGGGGTCCCCAATCCATAGAATTTGGTTTAGCTTCTTAATAGACAGATTTATGTACTCACTGACTGCCGTTGGAATCTGCGCCGCATGCGTCGTCAGAGCTGCGATTGTCTGCAAAGAAAGTGGAGACAAGTCACTCATTAGCATAGTTGGTATATGGTATAAGGCATGGACTACAGATCCCCGATATCCGAGCCCAAGCTCGACCCCCTTTTAGGCCATAAAGCGTTGACATAAATCACGGCAAGCCGACATTAAGTCCCTGGCCTAATCCATCGCCAGCAAGCTTCTTTAATTAAAGGGGAAATTTCGTTTTCGTGTTGCCGGCAGATAGGGGGAACCACTATATTCTCACGATTCTAAGGCTCCTCGGGTAAAGCCTGGCAAAAACTTTCGCCAGCCTGGCTGTTAACCCCCGAACCCGAACTCGAATACGAATCCGAACCTGAATCTCTTGGATCTTTGGGGCCAAGCGGCTTAGAATGGAGCTGGGGCAATGGTGTGCCACTTTTGGAATTTAGCATACTGAGGTGGGGAGTTGGAGTTGGAGGAGGAGTACCACCTGGCCTCCAGTCTCACATCCAGGTTAATCGCATTGGCATGCAATTGTCATTCAGCGATCTGCCTGATTGATGTGTTCTGGCCAACTCAGGCAATTTTCCATTTCGATGGGCCCAGAGGTGGAAAAAAAGCCCAGGTAATACTTAGTAATACTTACGATTAAGTGCAGCGCCGTGTACAAAATGTCCATTGGAGTGCCAGTCTTCATAATGCGAGCTGCAAGAGTGAGAAGAGCCAGAGAGTCGGATATTAAAACCTTGGCAAATAGTCAAAACTTAAAACCTTAAACAGAAAACCCGCAGAAAACCGGTTCTGCACCCACAACACACGTATAGGATTATGCTAAATCACTGGAAGTTCCAAGCACAACGATTCTGTAATGAATTTCGTGGCCCAAAGGCAAACTTTCTGTTTGCCAAATGGGTCAAGTCAACACAGCCGAATTTTGATTCGCGTGTACGGACTTATTGCAAATGGGTTAACATCGGCATAAAGTGGTGGCTGTAGCTCAAGGAAGGAGGTATGTATAAGATGGGATGCCATATCTTAAAGATGCCAGCAATCGAGCGCAGAGCAAACAAACATCCGCCAACTGCAATTCATGGCATCATGACTCGGGTTTCCGCTTCTCCTCGCCTTTCCTGGCCACAGAAGCTGCTGCATTACGAGATATTAAGCGCATATCAATGGCCCGTGACAAACGCTTTTAACTTCCTGCCGAACGGTGAGAACTTCACAGGCGAGTCACGTCAGGAAGATATTTATAAGGTGATCATTACACGGAAAAAAAATAGGTGTCAATAGGGGTCAAATAAAACCTTATTTTTTCTTTTTATTTTTTAACTCATCAGAACTAATACTTCTAGGCTAGTTCAAATACAAATACCATTAGGTAACCTCAGCACTTGGAATTTCAGGAATACCTATAATGTTAAGGACACGATATTAAACAAAAGCATTTTTATTAGGAAAATAATATTCATTATATTTGAAATCTATTTCCTAACATCCGGATTCCAGTAAAAATTGATTGATTGCACATTTTCCTTATAAGTTCATAACTAGTTATTCATAAATTCAATTAGGGTTTTATACAAAAAATTTAAACCAGCCAAGGATCGCAGAAAAATGTAGGTTTGAAAAGTGATGATACAAATAATCAAGCATCTATTATGAGATTAACAATAATGATATTCCTAGAAGCTGACACAAATGAATATCATTTGAATAAATTAAAAACTTGTTCATATGTAGGTTACAATAAACTTAAAATCAGAAGTAGCTGTGCTGACAGTCGCTTAGACTTTTCCAATCAACTTAAATTTCCTTAGCTACTTTTGGTAGCTATTTTCTCCAACAAGAACCTTAAAGATACCGAATACCACCCAGTTGATAACCGAAATGAGATCATATTTTTCCCCGTGCATGCTGATCATTGTCTGGGCGTCGTAAGACAACAAAATGCGGCTTACGCTGATGGCCGAGAGGCGATAATGATTTGTTGTTACCGCTGACGCTGCCAACACATTTCATTCACTACAAAGACACACACACATGGCGATGATGTCACAAGACCAGCACTCCACATCCCCATCCCCATCCCCAGCCACATCCACATCCACATACACTTACCCCGTATCAAGATACAGACCCCGAGATACATTCGGTTATTATCCAAGAGGTGTAATCTCGTTGGAAGTCTGGTTGTTATGGAAATTGGTTCGTTTTTGGTTCGGGGAGAAGCACGGATTTGGAATTGGGTCAATAGTTATCGCTTGAAACTGATAGATTGTTGGCATTATGCGGTGAGCACACATCAATTTATCAAGGCTGGAGGCCCACACCTGAGCACTTCCTGAACACCAAACAATCCGTAAAGTAGACAAACGTGGCTTAAAGCCGAATGCAAATTGCCAACTGACGCCAGTTTAGATCAGGCAACAACATCCCACAAGCCAACGTACATACTTCGTACTTCCACTGGCATTGCAATAAATTAGCTAAAATTAGCAAAATGACGCAAGCGAGGCAGACAGGTAAAAAAGTTCGAAATTGAAAACGCACCTCATGCAGGCAAAAAATCAGTTGGAAAAATGCGGCGAAGCACGCCAACATTATGAACATTATGAATAATGACTTTGATTGGCATCTGCTCTCGTTACCCAGTTCGGGCTAAAAATGAGCTAAGGAAAATAAAACGTAATGCCAAATGCCCAATGGAAATGGCAAACTGACCTTCAATTACGTTCATCGGTGATAAGGGAAATTGCATCGAATTGGGGCACAAATTATAGATAGTTGGTGGGCATAATGAAATGATAGGGGGTTTTTGACTCTGCAATGATCATACAGGAACCAAAAAAGAAATGGTCTTAGCAGGTTTAAGTCGAATATCAAGATCAATTTGATATTCCCTGGATTAGTTAATATTTCTAGCATTAAATAAAGTTTACTTGATACTGAAAATTGCAATCTTCGCTATTCCAAAGTAAGAAAAAAGCAAGATGCTTACTAAAATATCGTTTCATAATGACTTCTTATTTTTTTTTCGTTATATTTTTTGTTAATACTAAGCTGTATTATTTTAAAAACTATATTTTTCATTACCAATGTTGAAAAATAAATAAAAAGTCATATGATATGATTTTCTCCCTGTGTAAGAAGACATTTCCTGCAGCAGAACTCATTTCCTCCACTTGTAATTCTCCCCATGAAATCCAAGAACTATCGTCTAGAATATAAATTATACAGTGATGATTCAATGTCCAATCAATCGTGTGCATTCGATGGTAACGGATAGCTCCAAGTGTCAATTTGAATTCATTTGACACACATTTCACAGAGCAAATAGCACCGAAATAACTAAACAAACACAGAGTGAGACCAAAAGCCAACAAAATGGGCCGTGCAACTGAATAAATTAAATGGGTTTTGCGTGCCAACAAAGCGAACAAAGTTGTGTGTTTTAGTTTTTTTCACTTTTTTGTTGTTTAAAGTTTAAACAATTGCAGTTTCATTGAGGTGTGTGTGCTCTGTTAATGTGGCGGCTAAATGACCTCGCGTGTTTCCATTTTCCCGTAATTTATTTGCTTTTAAATACCCAACGAGGGTATGCAAAAAGCACATAGTTTTGAAATGCACACTTAACTTTACAGCTTTCTGCTTGAGCGAAATTGTTGGTTGGAAAAAAGCGTGAAAATGCCGCGTAACTGTGCGTAAAATTGGGCCCAAGCTGAATATTTTTGAAAATTAAATGTTAACAGTCGACGAAACTAATCCCAAATGAAGTGTATAATTAAAGGGAACGGACCTCCCGCAGATCGATCAGCGTGAATCTGGGTGAACCACATTAATCAAGCCGCATACCTGGGAACCTTTAGAAATCTCCCAGATCTCGGGATATAAGCTAGAGTCAGTCAATTAGAATATCTGACGACTCCCATCGCCGGCTGGCAGATCTGGTTCCAATCTGAATTGCCAAAGGCAATGGCAAAATCACAGACAATAACAAAAACTGTGTTAAGCACACAAACTCACACACTCGCAGCGTTTTAGGTTTAAGCCACAGCTCACTAACGTGGCTGACCCATTTGGAACTATCATGATGATCGGGGGGGCTGGGGTTCTACCAACTTTCGGTTGCGGTTTGCCATTAAAATGGGAAATCTCCGACGTACATCGCGGTTGTAGTGTGATCAATCACACGGAGAGAAAAATTGGCATGATGAAATAACATAATGGTGATGAATTGCTGTATATATATGTATTTGTCTAGTTTGTATCAAGTTGATATAGTTTATTTATACCAATTTATATACTTAAAATTTTTTATGATACTAACATATTTAAGATTTGAATACTTGACCAAGTTCTTCGTATAAGCTGT